CCGTTTTTTTTTGAAGCTCTTACAACAAGAAAATGGAGGGGACACATCTGGGTGGGAGGGGGGAGAGGGAGGAGGGAGGGAGGTTTTGGTGATGGGACACAATAACTAACTACATTGTATATTAACAAAATAAAAATAAAAAAAATTTAAAAAAAAATAATGAAGTAGGCACCTTGCTCACTGACTCATTTATTTAACATACATTTACTGACCACCTGCTGTATGTGAGGCACTGTGCGGAGCACTGCAGACGCAAGAACACTCCAGACTCAGCCTCTGCCCCACATCTGAGATTCTAGATGGGACTGTCATGTAAGTAAATCAGCCCGATGTGGCAGTTGGGTGTGTAAATTGCTGAGATGAGGATAAGACAGCAGGTGGTATGGGAGCCTAAAAGAGAGACATCTAACCCAGGGTGGTGGGTGTCTAGGATCAAGGAGGACTTCCTTGTAGTGAGACGTCATCTGAGATCTGAAGCACTAGAGAGAGGGGTAGTAAGTACAAAGGCTCTGAGGCAGGGTATTGTGGGCACCTGGAGAATTCCATCATCTTCAGTGGAATTGGAAGGTTAGAATTTAGGGAAACTGGGGAGAGACAATCCGGGTGTGGGGCCACGTGCAGGAGCCAGGATCCTCAGTTGGTGGACTTCAGGGCTGAGAGAGAAAAACTTGGTGTAGAAAATGACTCTTTGGAAAGCAGCCTACTCTTGGCTCTGGAAAGAGCCTGAGAGAAGACTTCACCTGTGGCAGGTCTGGAAGCTGTCCTGGACTCCTGTCCCTGTGCAGTTTCTATAGTGCACACGCCATGTACTTTACGTTCATTGTCTCTAAGGAGTGATGGGCGAGGGGGTAAATGTTCACTCACCAGAGCTGATTCCCAGAAGCCACTGAGCAGAAGTCCTCCCCTGTAGCATGGGAGAGCCAGTGAGTTATGAAAGCATTGTTATGTTTACAGTTAGAGTTTTAAAAAAGCAAAGGCCTGGATGTTATAATGGACAAGTGATCGTGTTTTTGTAGAGGGAAAGCTGTTTGTAGGTATGAGAGATAAGTCTCATCTAGCCTGGAACAAAGCCAGGAAGAGCTGTGATGGCCAGACTGAGGTGCCCAAACCTAATTTTGTTGGCCCAGGAAGCTAGGAGGGTACTTCCAAAAGTTCATGGAAAAGTAGAATTAAAAGATAGTAAGTTCATCTTTCCATGAACTTTTCAAAGACGCTCATAGAGAGAGTTTTTTGAGCAGGGAGGGGTCTGATGAAAGCACAACCTTACCAAAATCACAGCGGCCAGCACTAGCATCTATTTTAAAGGACCAGTATTCTGCATGCCCTAGAATGGCCCTGGTAGGTATAGTGAACATAATACTCAGCCTAGAATTATCTTCAGTCCTTAGAGATTGACATGCATGCTTTACATCCCTGCCTGTTGGCGTGGGAAGCCTTTTTGTGCCCCTAGACACAAACACCATGGGATCCTTGCACCCATTCTCTCATAACCTACTCTAGGTTATGTAGGGTCCAGAGAACATTACGCTGTGACTCCTCATTCACATCCTCCGCTGGCAGCAAGGAAAGGCTGGTGTGTATGTGGGTGGGGGATCATAATATGAGAATGTGCAATCTGAGGCGAATGGGTGAAATGTTTTGGAAGAGCTTTGTCTGGCGTGGGGATAGTTGGGGCTGGCTACGTGTCCGCCAATGAGGCCTTCCCTCAGGGTCCCAAGTCACCGACTCCCCCCTTGAAGTCCACATCCATTGTCAGACATGAAGGGTGCCTGTGTTTGGACAATGAGAGATGAAATTTTTTCCCCATTGTTACATTGAATTGCCCTCGTCAAGGTCATAACAAGATACCTGTGGGAAAAAATCACTGTCTCTAGTCCACAGTCCTAATAGGAACTTAGGAACAAGCAATACTGTTCTGTGGCTAGGACCAAGTGCGTGTGTCCAAGTGCATGGGTATATCTTAAACTCTTCCCCATCCAACAACCAACCTTACCACAACTAAATTACTATCCTTCTGAAGAGGTATAAGAAAGATATTGACCCCTAAAAACACCAAACATTTCCTGATTTATTTCAGCCTTAATGAGAGAGAAACAAGAGAAAGCAAGAGAATGTGGCAGCAGAGAGGCTGGGCCAGCCTCTTGTGGGAGAGCGTCCTCCAGAGAGTTGCTCTCCCCGGGTCAAGCTGAGACACTGGAGCCGCTGGCCCTGCAAAGATCTGGGAGCCCCAGTGGGATTCAGTTCCCCATTCAGTAAAAAAACAGATCAATGTGTTCTGATGGGGACTCCACGAAGTCCACTCAACCACTATTCTATGTCTGAAAGACCCACCATTTCTTTTCTGGCCTAAGTGATTCTTGGTATCACCATTTCTAACAGGGCCTCCTCCACCTTGTTGGGTTACAGGGACAAATATGCTCTGACTCCTGCATACAGACTCCTTCTGCTGATACTATGTTGCGGTACA